TTTGATATATTGAAGATTTCACTTCAATTCTTTGAAGTATGTCATGGTTGGTGTCTTCATAAATCTACTCATAAGTCCTACTTCAAAAATAATATTTGGACGAGTGCATGTCAAATATCTCAAACTCCCAACTAAGCTCTTGAATGTTATAAAGTTTATCTTCTCTCCTTCATTATTCTTTGACATCTTTACTCTACAATCAACCGGAGTATTTACTCTTGCACAATCCTTCATTTTGAACTTCTTGAGAACCTCCCTTGCAAACTTCTCTTAATTCATAAAGATTCAATCTCCTCCTTATTTGATCTCAATCCCTAAGTAACAGGATATGAGACCAATATATGTCGTCCTAAACTCCTTGATTATTGCTTGCTTAAAGTCTCCAAACATCTTTGGATTATTTTCTATAAAGATTAAGTCATCCATATATAAATATACAATGAGAGTATCACCGCTCTATTTGATCTTCATATAGATAGCATATTCATGTGGGCATTTAACAAATCTATTCTTTAATAAATATCCATCAATGTGACTATTCCAAGCTCTTGGGGTTTACTTTAATCCATACAAGGCTTTCTCCAACTTTAATACATTGTTTTTATATCCCTTCACTTCATATCTCATATATTGCTCATTGTAAAACTCTTTTTCAAGAAAGGCTAATTTGATATCGATTTGATAGATTCTCCATCTATATTAGGTAACAGTAATGATGATTAATCAAATGGTCTCCAATCTAGTAACAAGAGCAAAAATCTCATCATAGTCAATCTCATACTTTTAACTATAGTCATTTACCATCAACCTTGTCTTATATCACTCCATCTCTCCTTTAACATTCTTCTTTTCTTTGTAGATCCATTTGAAACCTATTGGTTTCTATCTATTTGGTCTAGGAACCAATTTCTATGTGTTATTCTTTTCAATTGAAATCTCCTCATCAATAAAAAGTCTTCATTTTGCATCATTTACTTCTTTTTCAAACATTATAGGATCATATATAGTAAGGTGATAATATAATGTTACATCATAAACAATTGGATTAGTTACCTCATATAAGTCATCAAGCCTTCTCATCTTTCTTGGTGGACTTAATGAAGTACTAAAGTTTACATGCTTAAGTCTCATATGCCAAAGTCAAGTCTTATTCTTTACATATATATTTAGGCATATTTATCTGTATGCTTAGCAAGAACATTCTATTCTTTTATCATGACTATCTTTATAATTGTAGCTTTTTTAATGTCAAGTAATATCAAAGTTCGATCTTTCAATTTAATCTCATACCCTTTCTCTAACAGTTGTCATAAGCTCAACATATTGCTTTTCATCTTTAGTATATAATAGACATCACCAATAAATTAATGGCTTTTAATTTTTTAATTTTAATCAAAATCATACATTTTCCTTTAATGGAAACCTTTAAATCATCCACAAATGGGACATTACCTCTAATTGCTTCATCAAGCTCTATGAATATATCTTTGCATCAACATATATGGTTATTAGCTCTATTGTCTAGATATCACATGTTCTCTTTGTTTTGCATTATCTTATCATGCACTAGTAATAGGTGATTTCCTTCTCCTCTTCAATCATTAGATTTGCATTCTCCCCAACCCTCTTGGTTGGACTCTACCAATCCCTATTATAATGACCTACCTTTTCATAATTATAGCATTTAACTTTTGATTTGTCAAATATGAATTTCAGATTGCCATAGTCAATGTAATCAATCAATCAATTTGCTTAATGTGGTCACCTAGTTGACCTGTTAAGGCTGGCACAACCTCCTCTTTTAAATATTCTAGCTTCTTCTTTTGATTTGTCCATATCCTTTACCCCTTTAAGAATACCCAGAATCATCTTGCTTTAAAAAAAGTGCTTATCCACCTATATCTTCTTGAATCTCATTGACTTTTTTCTCACGTGTTTGTAATTTCCCCATGAGACCTTGAATTGTAAGAAAATCCATATTTTATGACTTTTTTATTGCGATTACAATATAATGAAATTTCTTTTGCTGCAAGCATAGGGTTTTTTCTCCTACATGTCTCTTCCATCTTCTCTCTGTATCTTTTTATTTGATTGTATATGGTCAATACTCTTGCAAAGTATTCTGAAATAATCTCTTATTCAAGCATATGTAATTTTTCAAAGTCACTGCGTAGCTTTTATAGACATATTATTATTGTATTGTCATCCTTTTGGTTTGATTCTTGTATAACTTCTCATACTTGTTTGACAATGGTTACGTTGACCATTATATTAAAAGCGACATCATCTAGACATTGATGAATGATTGTTAGTGCTTGTTGATCATTTATTTATGCCTTTTACATGGCCTTCTTTTGAGCTGGAGTCAACGTTGCTCCATTTATAGGCTCCTCAGAACATTTTTCAACTATCTCTTATACATTTTAGTAATTTAGCCAAGCTTTTACCCAAATACACCAAGTTTCATAGTTATCCTTTGCCATCCTAGGACATTGAAATGGAAAGTTAGAATTTGTCATGTTAAATAATCAAATACAAGCTCTGATTCCACCTATTGAAAGAACAATATGTGAGGTATAAGATCAAAAACAGTAATGCAAAGTTAAAAACTCAAGACAGAGAGGAAGATATACTTTTATTAATTATTTATCTCTAAGCTCTCTTAGTTATTCTCTCTCTTCTATGCTTATTCATTGTGATGAATTACAAAAAAAAACAAATAGGCATAAAATCCTACACAATCAAGGAATTAAACTAATATAAGAAAATTCTAATATAAATAGGAATGATATTCTGTCAACTGAATTCATCAACTGTTTCTAAACCAATCAACTAATTTAACTTATTTCAGTCAGTCGACCAGTTCTCCACTGGTAGACTGGTTCCTTTGTTTCTTATAATCAAAATTAGATTTACTTTCAACATGCTCCAGCCATGAAAGTAGGTGAATGTTCCTCAACCCATTCTCTCGACATTTTGTCAACAGATACTCATCAGAAAGAAGCTCCAAATCTAGTTTATTTAGTTTAAAGTGCAAAAGACAGGGACATTAAATAGGCAATAACAAGTTGGCCTGAAAAAGTTCACTTAGGTCTTTCTACTTTTTTGTTTATTTCTTTTATGTCCTTGTGGTTTTTGAAATTTTATTTTTAACCTAAAATTCATTTTTTTCTCATTTTTTGCAATATTTTTATTGAAAAAGAAGAAGAAGAAGAAGTTGCAGAAAAACGATGAAGGATAAATAATTTTTGGTTAGCTATGATTATGGCCAACAAAAAGATTTATGTCAGTAAGTGTTTTTTACGAGAGGAGTTCCATTAACATGTTATTTGACTCTCATTTTTATTGAAAAATATAGATAAGATTTTGAAATTTTTTTAATTCAGGCTGATTTATATTTTTTAACCGAAATCTTTCAAATTTAAGACCATAGATGGTTCTTATAGTCCTATAGACTATTTAAAAAAAAAAGTGAAACAATGTTTGAAAATGGGTTCTTTTAGTTGGAAAAAATGGTAACATGGATTTTCAGCTATTTGGTGGATAAAAAGTATACCGCACATCTTGTGAAATGACAAGTCGAGGACAGCAGATATATATATTCTGGGCATCAGACATTTCAAGTATATAAGAACTTTTGGATGATCCACTACCATATATATTATCAAACACTTCAATATTATTTATTTAACATTTTTAATTTAGTAATTTCCAAAGAATCCAAATATATTTTACAGAAAACAAGTTGTGTTACATAAATTATTAATAAGAAAGAATTTATTATTATAAGAAATCCTCAACCCATATGAAAATCTCATGTTTTCATAAATTTATTAGCAAACACTATTATGATTTATATGAAAAAGCTTTAACCTAATTCTATTTATACTTAAGAAATAAAACGTTAATTTATTTTTTAAATACTGGGAAAAAACAAAGGATATCGGAGGAAAGTCAAAGAAAAGAAGAATTAGAAAAGGAAAGCAAAAGGAGTGAGGAAAGGGAATTGGTTTGTTTATTTTTGTGTTTTAAAAGTGTTTTTAAAAAATTTAAAATTATTTTATTTTTTTATTTAAAATTAATTTTTTTTATGTTTTCAGATTTTTTTATATATGAGTGTGAAAAATAATTTTTTTAAAAATATTATTTTAATATATTTTTAAATAAAAAAATTACAATTATACTTTCAAACACCATATCAACCCAAGGGAGCTAAACTCTCCCCACAAAAACGAAGGAAGGAAAGAGAGAAACATGCAATGATATCTCGAAGTCCATTTTTAATATTTGTTCATACAACAAATCATCCAAAATATTTTCAAAACCTATTTGTACAACAAAGCTCAAGTCTTCTTCATTTTTTGAAGCCACTTATAAACTCCTAAAAGCTCCAATTGGCTCGGAGAGCTATGCTTTATCAATTAAAGGTTAAAATAGGCTTATTCCATGTTAAAAATCGTTGCTCCATCTACTCTCTCTCTCATCCATTTCTCCGACCCAGAGGCTCTCTCGGACGATGGAACCAAGGATCTCTTCGAAAATTGAAAGCTTTATATTGGAGGACCAAAAGAGACTCCATCAAGTCAAAGGACCAAAACAAAAACCACATCAATCAGCATTTTAGAATCATAAATTATTCACTATTGGATGAACTACAAGCTATTGAATGAACTTGAATAGTCTGAATGTTTATTTAATAACTCAAAATATCTCTTGATCACATTAGCTTATCTTATAAATAATTGTGTAATGACAAAAAATACCTAAAAATAATGATAAAAAAACCTAAAAAATTAAATCGTTTGTTGTTGTGCTTGTTGGTAGAATAGAAATAATACAAGTTTAGCATTCATTGTTGGTTTCAATCATTGTGTCATTAGTAGAGAGAATGATGCTTTTGCTCTCCACAAAAAATATTGATATTTATTGTTCTTACTTTTATCATCACATGGAATAAAAAAAGAGATATTCAATCAAGAAGAGAATCTGGGAGCATCCAATTGGAAACAAGGGAGATAACATACATAATAGAAAAACTTTGTTTTAAACCGAACGAGGCCGAGGGTTCTGATACATTCACAGTTTGGAGAAAAACCCACCAAGCCCAGTTATATATAAAAGTTTGGACAAGACCACGCCTACGTAGGCATGAAAGAGCTTGTTCTGGGCACAAGGAACACGTCAATGAAAGCTACATTATGTTCCGCCCATTAACCTTCATATCATTCATGAGGAAAGGAAAGAAGAAAAACACTACCACCAGGCCACAGCCGGTTGAATAATCAACATTTGGATTTTACAAGTGGGAAAAAAAAAAAACCCAGTTATTGAGTTGTAACCTGAGCAACACCTGCAGAGAAAAAGATATTCAAAACTTAATGCTTGTACACGATTAGGGGAGGAACAAAAGCAAATGCATACTGAAACCTGGCTAACCTAAAGAAGTTAAAACTGTTTTTTTAATTTTATTTTTGCAATATTAAAGACCCGAGTGCTACAAAAATGGACACTAATTCCCCTGCTTCCATGATATGGAACCCATCTAAAATCACAATAACTTTCATATACCTCTGGCGCACAAGTGTGCGCCTAAAACATCTGATGTCACTTCCCCTCTACTTTTTCTTTAATTAAGATTTTCTCTTCAATAATTTCTTCCTTCTTCCCATTGTAATGCTTAAAATCTCTCAGAAACATATACACCAAACCCCCCCTCTTTTGAATGTTGCATTGAATTGATGTTGTTGTTGATTGGTGTTTGGAAATTCATGATAAAAAACGCAATTAAATTATGAAAAAAGAAGTGAGTTTTCAATCAAATGTCTTTGTAAAACAAGGACATGAGAGATTTCTATTTTTATATGAAGAGATAAGGTGATGGAAAAGAGAGGAGAATTATTGAAGAAAGCAAAGAAGAATGAAAAAGAAAGGAGGAAAATCAGAGACATGGCTAGTGTTGGCAGGCTACAAACTGTATTGGACACGTATGAGGTGTGAAGGTAATTGTAAAGAGAATCAGAAAGGGTAAAGCCTAAGGGAATTAGGTAACTTCCTAAGGAGTAAGAAATTATTGCCCTTCCTAAAATATTTTTCCTCGCATAGGATGTTGAATTCAGGGTCCATGTATCTCCAAGTCACAAATCAGACAGCATATTAAGAAGCACAAATATTATCTAACAGGTTCGATGCTAAAATAACAGGAGAGAAGAAAATAGTTTTCCAATCATTTTACAGAATGCTGTGCACAGGTCAATTTTTTTTCCAGAAAATTTGGTTCTGTATACAGAGTCTCCAGGGAATAAAAAATTTCAGAGACTCAATATTACAAGCCCGGAAAGACTGCACTTAACATACAATTAATGAATACTGACCATTTGGCGCTGCCTCTTCTTCCTCCTTTTCTTCATCAATTGTTTTCCATACGATGTCTTTCAGTCCAGTTGAGAGGTTCTTGTAAAACTGTCATTTAAACCAGTTGAATTCAAAATCAGACCTCATAGCAATTAAGGATAAAAGGAGGAATTAACTAATAATACAATTGATGGAGCAACAATGCCAGTGGAGGCAGCTATGTTTTTTTATGGCCCGTTAAGTCCACCCTATAAGAGCAGACACACAAATCAAGCCTTCAGCAGACTCCAAGAGATTACATGTCCCATAAAACATGCAAATGAATTTAGCTTGGCCTTACTCTTGAGCTACCAATGCTATAGTGAACATTTTAACTTTGCCTTGAGCGTGGAAATCATTTTTAATTCAACTTGGCCCAGGAATGTATAATTCCAGAAGCATGTTTTTTGTTTCAGTAATGGTAATAATAACTGGAACATGAAATGGGAAAAGTTGAATCACAAATGATGCAGTTATTGGCTAGTTCTTGGCATCAATGTGTACACCATCAACTGTGGTTGAGTATCTCAAGTACCCCTCCCAGTCAAGCCTCTCTTTTTACTAAAAGCTTCATTTTGTCATAATTGTTTTGCATGAACACTTAAATAAGCAAACCAGCTAAATATGTACTTTTCAAGAACAGCTCCATTCAGTTTGCAGCCAAACCATGGGTTACACACATGACCTAACTGCACAGGCATCAACTGATTGATGTAAAAGAATACAGAGACCAGACATTCTTTGATGGAGGAGAAATTATTCATTACTGTTTTAATTGCCAGAAAAGCACCAGTATTTAAAGGCCATACCTTGTGAAATTCCAGGGTATCTCCACCAGACTTGCGAACCTCGACCATGTAAAGAGAAGGGGCCACTTCAAAGATCTGAAAGATAGAGAAATCTTACACCCAGCTCAAACTACTACAGACAAGTTTGTAGCGGAAATCATTTCCTGAAGACATACCTCTGTTGCAACAGATAGACGACCCTTACGCCCATCCTTATCCCCTTGAAGCTTCATCTGCAATTTGAAACAGAAGAGCTGTTTCAGCAGAAACAATAATTTAACAGTTGACTGCCTAATAAGATCAAAGTTCTGAAGACATCCTCTTTTCTCAAGCACATAAAATGCGGAGTCCACTGAACCATATAGAAAAAAGGCAAATATTGAAAAATCCAATTCACTTACGAAGGTGAAAGGACCAGAAAAGGATATTCAATTCACTTAAATCTTTCAGGATTCAAGTTTGAAGACAACTTGATGAAAACCTTACAGACATGACAAGTTGGATGCAAAAAGACTGCAGGAATCTTGCTAAACATGAATTAAAAATTCCACTTAAAATTTTCATTTATTGAAGGGAGTGTTATCAAACCTTGAAGTTATTTTTCTTAACATCAAAACCCAAAGGCGCTGCTGCTGCTTCAATTTTTGAGATTATCTCACTAGCAGAATGTTTGGATGTGAATCTTGATTCCCGTTTAACAAGCCCCTATATTCCATAGGAAAAGAAAGTCTCTTGAGTTCATAGTTGTGAAACTCAAAGATAACTGCATATTCAAGCAAATGGCATGGCTCATTAAACTATGATATTTCAAAAAAAAAAAAACTTGCACTGGAAACATAGAAGTTATTTCTGATTTTTGCTCGGCAACTATTTCACAAAATTGAGCAGGCTAAATATTGGAACAAAGTAGGAAAATGATCTAAGACATGGTTTTAAATAATAAAAGTTCGTGTGTATAATACTAAAGAGTATTCAACCATCAATCCATGGAATAATTTTAAATTGAAATCTCAATGCCAACAAATGTGACAAACTGTCAGGCTCTCAACTTCTAACATTTTACAGATTTTGGCTTCATTTACAGAGAACGGCAAAAAGTTCAAACATACCATTTGTTTCTCAAAAAGACTACTAAGGTTAAGACCCTGAGAGGTAGAGATGAGTTCAAATGCATTCATGGTTACAGGAGCCATAGGCCCTATAAACCCTTCTTCTCGCCTCTCCACAACTAGGTTTTGAGAATCCTGTTAACCAAGAGGAACATCAAGTACAAACCCACAAGTGGTGCACTAAGATTGAAAGCATGATGCACAAGTGAACCACAAGAATTACCACTGATTCATTGAAGACAGAGTTCACATCGTCGAGACTAACATTAGCTTGTTCAAAAGCAGGTGGCTTATATCCTTTCTTAAACCATTCATTTTCAATAAGCTCGGCAATGGTGATACGCTGTTCAATACCATTAGCATGTACAGTAAGTTGACAAGTACCTAATATTACAATGCATCATTCTAGAGAAGGAAAGAAGTGCAATAAATTTATATGAAGGGAAGTGCGGGGGCAAACTGTCGAGGGATTAGGGTCAAGAATCCTTTTGATTAGTTTCTTTGCACTTGAGGAGAACCATGGAGGACACGTGAAGTCAGCCTTGAATATCTGCAGTCAAACGTAAACTGTATTTAGCCAAATTAAAATACAATAAAGTTCCATCCATTTAGGCACTGCTGAATACACCAATACCACATTTAGCTAATCTTAGACAGCAACAGAAGAGGTTTACAAAAGCAGACATGCACAAAGGATCTGATTGCAAACCATGGGTCCACGATAAAGTTCTGTTTTACAAACCAGAATCAGATATCAACCTGCCATTCAATTCCCTATTTGAGTTTTTCACACATGCTCTCAGATTTTGTGGACGGCTTGTAAGAATATGTCAATGGCATAAACTGTACTAGCGATCATGACATTTTGCAAAATAATCACAACTTGATGATTGGCTTGTCTGATAGCTCTCTCAACCTCATTCTTACATTGAATGAGCCAAATCCAAGAAGAATTTAGGGTCTTCATTTTCCAAGTCATACTTGCCATGGCACAACTCCACCCATACATAATTGATTTTTTAACTTACAAAATTATGGTTAACTTCCCAATCATAATAGTTGATAATAGTTCAACATTTTCATAGATTAGGTTCTACAAGGGTTTAAGAGATCTTGAAGATCTTTTATACTCAACCATTTTCAGGTCAAAACGATAAAATCAATAGGTAAATAAATTAAAACTCGCTCTAGCATTTTATACAGGCACAGCCAGCAAAATGAAGATGGGTGTGTGCATACAAAGCGACCAGAAGGAACAGAAACAATCACCTTTTTATATAGTGCCATCAGGTTGGCTTCTTCAAAAGGTAAGTAGCCAGCCATCAAGACAAAAAGAATCACGCCACATGACCATAAATCTGCCTTGGCACCATCATAGCCCTTATTGTTGATCACCTAGCAAGGTGAAACGCCAAGGAATAAATAAAAGAGCATAAATGGTTGAAGCTTTAAGAATTACTGGTTGCAGGAAAAGCCACACACCTCCGGAGCAACATAATTTGGTGTTCCACACGTTGTGTGAAGTAACCCATCTTCCTGGAGGAGAAATAAAAGATAAACAATTAGGAATTCTTCTGAAATGAAGCTGGAGGAGAAATAAAAGATAAACAATTAGAAATTCTTCTGAAATGGACAGTAATTGACCATAGCACAGAGTTCTCGAGTCAGAAATTAACATACTCTAACTTGCTGAGGTAGTGCACTCAATCCAAAATCCGAAACTTTAAGAACCCCGTCAGCATCCATTAGCAGATTTTCAGGCTGTAGTTTAAAACCGCATGTCACAAACTTAGTTTATTACCGAAACTATAAGAGATTAATCCATCAGCTTAACTGAAGAAATCTAAGGGGGTCATTCTCATTTTAGCATTAGAACAAGAATCAAGGCAACAAAATCACACCTTCAGATCCCTATGGTATACACCTCTGCTGTGGCAGTAATCTACAGCACAGATAAGTTGTTGAAAATACTTTCTGGCTTCATCCTCTTTCAACCTCCCCTTACTTGCCTAACTCAAGAAAAATAGCACAAAAACCATAGAAAGAGTTAAGACTTCCTCAAAAACATGCAGAACAATTTCAACATACTCATTTCAAACACATTAATCTTACAATTTTGTCGAAAAGTTCACCACCCGTCACAAATTGTAAAACAATGTAAATTTTGGTCTTGCTCGCCATCACCTACAACAGTAATCTTTCCTCAAGCTACTTCAACATCACAAAAATAACATAAAAAGAAAGATAACAACTTGCTTATTAATATTCCAAAAAAAATTCCAACCTCATACATGCGGACGACATTAGGGTGTCTGATTAACTTCATCGTTGAAATCTCCCGTTTAATCTGCAAAAAATATAAAAATAAATAAATATGTAGCAAACGACATGTCTCCCCAATCAAATTGACTACTCTTTCTTTTCTTTTCTTTTTCCGAAATTCTTGATTTTCCAATTAAATTTTCTCGGTAACCAAACAGAAAAAAAAATCATAAACTAAAACTAACACAAAAATACCTTCAATTTAATTAAACAAACTTCAGATTCACAGAATTATATGAAATTAAAAGTAAAGAATAAATACCTGACCGATCATTTTGTGCTTAAGAACATTCTCTTTATCGAGAATTTTGATGGCAACATTCTCTTTCGTCTTAACGTTCCTAGCGAATTTCACCTTAGCAAAATTTCCTTCTCCGAGGGTCCTTCCGAGTTCGTATCTCCCCACACGTGTCTTGCTTCCGCTTCCTCCCCCACCACCACCACCACTTCTAGAAGACGACATTCTCTAACTAGACCAGTTAAATTTCTCTCTCTAAAACTGAAAATCCTGTTTTTGATCGATCAAGATCTCTTCTTCTTGCATGGCTGCCATACCTGTGACTTGGCTACCCTCATCTTCGCTTTTTATTTATTTATAATAAATATCTAAATAAGGCAAATGATATTAATAAATACAGAAACAATTTATGTTAAGATTGAAAAAGAAAAAAGATCGAGAGATCAAAGGGAAAGTAATTACCACTGACGGTTGGATCAGACAACAACCTCATAAAGTCAAGACAATTGAAAATAAAACTTTTTTTCCCTGTGTAATCAGAGATTTCTCTGGGAAATAAATAAACAGGACAAATATTTCTTATCTTTCTAATTAAGTTCGGTAATAATCGAATAATTAAGGGTTAAGGCTAATGATGATAAAGTCTAGGAAACCTCAATTGAGTTCTAATGATGATAAAGTCTAGGAAACCTCAATCGAGCTATCTATGTACTTATTTTAAATTCACTCCCAAGACAAATCAATCTATAATTTCGGTCCCTGATGCCTTTCACGTTTCTCAATTGGATCCTTCACTCAGTATTTGTTAGAATGTGCTTTTCGTTTTGGGAATAAATTTCCATCCACCGCGTTTGGTGAATTATTGGAGGGAGAAAATATTTTGAAGGTTGATGAGAAGTAGTCGCTACCTTTGAGTAAGAACGCAGCCGCCTTAAAGTCAACCATCGCTGTTGATTTGAGTGCAATCTGGACGTTTGCCCAAGTATCGGGGCCCTTTGACTGTCAAGGTTCGAACTGGACAGGGACGATTCGACGCCATGGGTCACCTAACCTGTTGCTTCTGAGTCTTTCGAATCAGAGACGGCGGCGCCGCTACTGTTGATTCAGCGTTTTCATTAGGGTAATTTCAACTTGCCTCCAAGATTTATGTTTTGTGTCAATTTCATCTGAAATCTTTTACTTAATTAAATGATTACATATTTTTCATAGGAATGGTAACATAAAAAGTAAATATTAATCTCTTCTCCGAGGTAAATAAGCAAACTAAAATTACGAAAAATTAAAAAAAAAAATCAATAGAAGAGACATTGTTTGTAGTAAAACAAAAAATGATAAAAATTGAGAGGGCTAGCTTCACAAGAAATTTCTAGATTTTATTCCCTTACTGCTCCTTTATTCACATTCATTCATGTCCTTATGATTTCTGCACCACTCTCTTGTAAAAACACACCACATGCAGTGTTTGGTGGAAGTAATATAAAACAATATACACCAGAGAGTCTAGACTTCTCTAACTTTCTTATCTGGCAAAATCTTTTCACAAATATTCTTCATTGTCATAGGGTTTATGATCATGTGGATGACACTCATAGTCATTCTCAATCCATCACTGAAACTTCTTACAACTTATTATTAATCTAGATTTTGCTATTTGGCTGTAAATTGACCACGTTCTTGTCTCCTGGATAAATGCTGCAATGTCATTAGAGATTTTTAAGCATAGCATCTCCCCTGAAATTGCTTTCTTTGCCCGTGATACCTGGGTTTCTATTAAAAACTATTTCTTGACAGCTTGACATCAAGATATTAATGGAGAATCCACGTCGATGTGCTTATAATTGCTTATAAGAAGCTAAGCATACTAACATAATATTTAACATAGTTTAACAAACTATCTACATACATAGGTAATTGCTTATAAGAAACTAAGCATACTAACATAATATTTAACATAGTTTGGCAAACCATCTACATGCATAGGGAAAATTAATATTATTAGAAATAGATAGAGAAAAGGTTACAACACACATGGAGAAGGAGAATCATTTCATTCAAACTCTACTCTCATTGCTCTCACACGCGCTGCTGCACATTGCAGCAGGACTGCTGCCCTTGGCAACCTCTCTTTCTCTTCTTTTCACTCTCTCTCACTCTCTCACTTTACTCTCAAATAATACCTCTATTTTTAGGCATCAATAGTAAGGTAAGAGGCCATCAATTATGGCATAAATAGTGACAGTACATGGGTTGTACCATTTTTTCAATAGTTGGTACAACTATCATTGTAGCCTTTTGATAATAGCAACCTTTCTTATTAGGCTAGGTTGCACAAGTTTTTGACCATTAATGACAATATCCCAACAATCACCCTCTTTGACATTTATATAGGCAATTATCCTCTTGCTTCTTTAGGACAAATTTGTATATTATAGCTCTTTCAAACTTACTATTCTAAGAGCGTTTGTGGGCAAGTTTATGGGTACTTGCCAAACCTTTCAATCACCAAAGTTATCAAAGCACACCCTTGCTTACACTAAAGGATATCTTCAACCAGATAATCTTCCACATCACATTTGAAGAGTGTTAACACTTGTCTCTGGGATACAACATTCTCCTTCGAGCATATCAATCATACTCGGTCTGGAATGATTTTCCAAGCCTCACACCAAGGCTTACAAACCCCCTCAAACGAAAATTTCTCTTTTCAAGTGCAATAGTGATTATCTAAGTATCTCAATATGATCACGAGCTTTTCCAAGAGTCTACTCTATGTTCCCCCTTAGGAATCGCGTCTTACTTCTACATGAGTCTTTCACTCTTAGTCCAAGAATCTAAGTAGCGCTCCACCTTTATCCGTGAGGGTAGCCCATCAAAGGTTGATCCATATTTGTCTTCATATTCTGAGTATTACAATGTCATTACTAAGTTCATCACCTTGACAAGAGTCAACTTGTTTTCAAAACCTGCACAAGCCCTCTTCTCCTACATAACAGTCGCGTCTTAATGCTTCACAAGTCACCCACTTATTGTCCAAGACAAATATCTTTTAGCTCATTGACATTTAGCATGGGGTTAATATTCATGAAATTCAATCCTGCATTTGTCTTCATACTCATCATAGCCACTTCATTGGCTATATACATGGCTACTTATATCCAGCCACCACATTGGCTCTAGAACGTTCTGTAATTGAGCTTCTATCATGACCCTTACACCTTCTTCAGAGGTGTCTCCGCTCGTTATCATGTAACGGTTTGAACCTAGGCTTATATTGGAGCCCATACACCTTTTGTCTAATGTGTCTTCGCCTTTCATAAGCGGCCGCATCCTTCTTCAACTAGGATGCATCAAAGTGGCTCTAAAATTCTTTACCACTATGTGGACTATGAGAAAGATTACTACTACTAATCATATAGAAAAAGAGCATTGTGGTACACTCCTCACAATTCTCCATCTTGATTTCTATGTTTGGAGCTTCTACGTCTTTCTGTTTGACAGCTCCACCCACACCAACTCTCTTTGATGTCTTCATCTTTTATAGGCTGTCACGTTCTATCACAAGCATTTGCACCCCCTCAATTAGATGCCTCCACAACAACTCTCTTTCCATCCTTGCATGCATTGGAAAGATATTTGCCTGTTGTCTTTCATTAAGAGCATAAGAGACTTTCTATTGTATAACCTTCACATAATCTCTGCTCTGAGTTTCATGTAGGAACTCTTCCTCTCCTTGCACCTGTCGTCTTATTACAGTACCTCATTAGATCCTATAAGTACTCCTACACAATCTCCGTGTGCCTTCGTGCAATATCTGTTCTCCAGATTTCTCCTTATTCCTTACTTTTATGTTTGACAGAAACTCATCTTGCCACACACCTATCCAAGTCAAAATAGGGTATCAATCTTTATTCTCTTGTTGTATTTCTCTTTCACTATCAAGGTCTTCGTCAATTCTCTCTTCAAGAAATCACAATCACCACTTCATCAAATCCTTGATCATACAAAACCCAACTGTTCCTTTATGTCGTCATTCTATTAGTCTTCAACAGTTTCATTACAAAATGTTACATATACGAAATAGTACCGTATGGATAATCCTTCAACTAAGCAAGTTTCCAGAAAAGATTAGAGGGATCACACTGGTCCCGCTTAAAACTCAATCTCCTAGCTAGAACTTCTTAGGCCATATCTATCCATCATATTATCTTTCTGTATATATAATCATTTGCTAGTTTTATTATGGCTTTTCTTTATCAGTGATCTGGGGTATCCTGATTTTATACCTGATTTCTCAATATCTAGCCAGACTACCAATCCTTAGATTTGTCAAGATTGGTCTTCATCAGTTTCCACTCTCCACCTCCAATTATTCACATGATCAGGTGTCCAGAATGTCCCAATTTTTCCTTTCCTTAAGGTAGTTAAAATTTCTCCACTCAGTGTTTCAGCATATATAATTGGGCAAACATGTGCGATTTCCTCTTTTTCATCTATATCGACCATCATGATAACCTTCAGATGCCTCCTAATTAGGCAATCTCTTTTAATAATTCACCACCACCATTTTCTATCTCGATCTCAATGATCGAACCATACCATTGCATCTAGAATGATCAAATTAGCTAGAAACAGGTCTGAAATTGTCCAAATCGCATTTCAGATGGCTAAAAGTTGATTAAAACAATTTTGGTCTAATTAACAGCTCAGATTCAATATCAGATCTGGTTGCACGTAGGATCAGCTACATTAGATCCTTTCCCTCTGCTCAACTCTGTTTGGCTTAGCTCAACTTAGCCTGGCTTGCGACTGATTATGTGGCATTTAGGTCCCACTATGCTGACGTGTTAACTGACTGGAAGCTAACATGGCATGCCAACTGTGTATGATGACAACATGATGATGTCATCCTCCATCTGGGTCAGGCACGTGGGTCGGGTCATATGGTATTTGGGTTGGGTTGGGTCAGCTCATCCGAGTAAAGAAGAAGCATGCGACGCGTGACGCTTGTCTGTGCCCGTGGGTAACCACCTTACTGGCACATAATGGTGTGGGGACATTTTTTAAGTCCGACTTTGACGTAGTTTTCACTAGTGATTTCGTCTCTTTCTCCTCCTCTACACAATGGTGTGGTCAAAACACAATTTTGATAACTTTTATTTTTAAGTAAAATCAAATACCACTTTAAACCATGTGTTCTGATACCAATTGTTGGGAAATCTGAGACCAGTGATGTACTGATAATCGCTTATAGGAGGCTAAGCACACTGGCACAATATTTAACATGGTTTGACAAACTGTCTACATCTACAGGAGAAGTCAATATTATTAGAGATAAATAGAAAAAGGGTTACAACACACATGGAGAAGGAGGATCACTTCATTCAAACTCTACTCTCATTGCTCTCACACACACTGCTGCACATTGTAGAAGGGTTGCTGCCCTTGGCAACCTCTCTTTCTTTTCTTTTCACTCTCTCTCACTCTCATTTTGCTCTCAAATAATGCCTATATTTATAGGCATCAATGATAAGGTAAAAAGCTATTAGTTATAGCATAAATGGTGGGTTACACTATTTTTTTCAATGGTTGGTGCAACTATCATTGTAGCCTTTTGACAATAGCAACTCTACTTCTTAGGGTAGGTTGCACAAGTTGTTGCCTATTAATGAAAATATCCCAATAGATATATGCACTTGAAATCTGATTTCAATGAAACCTCCAAGAGCACACGCCCACTGAGTGGTTATCTTCAATATGTGAAGTCCATTATTGATTCTCTTCAAGCAAATGAATGTTCTCTTTCCGAGGAAGACATAATAACTTAAATTCTGCATTGTTTGCTTGAAGCATACTCTGATGTGGTCATTGTTATGTTTGACGCAATCTTTTGCTATCTTGTTTGTTTATATCAAGTAACTATTTTAATGTATATTGATTATATTAATATCAAAAAAGAGTTGCCTGATATTAATAGTCAGGAAGTATGAGGAAAATTGTTTGGTAATTCATGCATCTTATCTTAATTTTTAGACTGCCAAAAGAAATCATGTTTTTGAGCAACAATAACCTAAAATCAAAATAAATACCTATGTTTATTATTTTTATTTATTTCAATTCTCCATTTCAAATTACTCCAACATGATTTACATGTCAAGATTTTTAATCTCTTTTATCCATTAAAACTTCTGAAACCATTAATTTTACGTGTGTGTTTTTAACTAGCTGGTTGATGGACATTATTTTCAATTTATATTTTGTTTATTTTTTATCTTTTATTTTATATGCGCATATTCAATGCCTCAAGTCCTTTTCCTCAAATCTAGATCCCTTATGAGAGGCTCTTTAAAGCAACCGATGGATTTTCTACAACCAACTTGATTGGAGATGGTAGTTAATTTTAGCACTGTGTACGAAGGAAATATTGATGACGATGGAACACTAGTTGCAATCAAAGTTCTTAACCTGCAACGTCGTGGAGCGTCTAAGAGTTTCATAGATGAATGTGGAGCCTCGAGAAACATTCGGCATCGAAATCTGGTGAAGATCATAACTTCTTGCTCAAGCATTGATTTTCAAGGTAATAATTTTAAAGCTGAAGGGAGTCTGAAATGGTTGCATCCTACTCAAGAAACACATGAGATGGTCAGCAGATCAATGAAATTCAGTATCCAAACCTTCTTGAGAGGATCAACATTGCCAAAACGGGCACGCCCCACTGCATGGCGTCAGGGCTCCGGAGACCCCTTCCAAACACCACCCCGAAAAGAAAATCTAGTTAATGGGAGAATTCCAACTTGGAGACGAATCGACAAAGGAAGATCTAGTTTAGAGACGTTTATGGGAGAATATTATCAAATAAGCTTGTAGTCTATGTTTTTTTTTTTTCTTAATCAAATAGATTTTGATTTGATTGGCAGTGTAGCGGTTTGTTACTTCCGTCGCGGGCATATGAATAGTTTTCAATCTTAAACTTGACTCTGAGGCTGGAGTATCCACGCATAAACGAGTACTGAACACGTTGGCTGGCCAATACTTTCACTGACAATAATAACAATCAACTAAGACTCCAAAAACGCAAGTGATCACCTTTGAAACCACCGTTCTTGATTCTCCATAACCATGTCCCATTCATACAGACGTCCATATTTTTATTTTTTATTTTTTATTTTTTGAATCACTTCTTTCTAATGTATAACTGCATGCTCTCAAACCATTTGCGCTATCTTTTTAGAGCACAAGGTATCGAGTCCACCCGACGCGCATTATACTTTTTGTTTTCTTTATAAATTTGTGTGTTCGTATACATCTTCACGTGAATTTCTAGGAACTCTCTGTTTAGCTTGTTGACGATAAATTATTTGCTGAGTTGCGTGCCTTCACGACATCCAGAACACCAGAGAGATACCATCGACCCCTCCTCTTGAATTCACTCCTATATATGGCTGGCGTTTTGATCGATCGCTTCTTAAGACCACCACCATCAAAGCAGCAACGAATAATTATCACCGCCCTTCATCCACATCTAATTTACCAGCTTCAATCCTCCCGCAAATCATTTTCTTTAAAAAATCATTGTGAGTCTGCAGTTTCCAATTCAACAATGAGGAATTCAGTCAAATCCAGAGAAGGGAACCTTATGGGGGCAAAGATGAGCAATAAGGTCTCCTTTCCATCCGGATTTAAGAACAAAGTCATTAAGGAAGCAATGAATAACCTGAATCCTAGCCTTCATGATTACTTATCCAACAGACCTCAAGTCCAACCAATGAGAAATAAGGCTTCTGGTTCCAAAGGAAAAATAAGCCACCAATCCATGGATGGCCGGAACTCCACGGTGAAAAATAAGGTTTGCTCTTCATCAACATCTACAGGCAGTTCACATACAGAAAATTGCTTTACACGGGCACAAACGAGTTGTCGCAATTCCGTCCAGTCCAAGACTTATCCAATGCCCACAGAAGGCAGTTCAGATGACCTTGTAGGGGCAGAAATGAGTTGTCACAATTCTTCAGGACATGCTTACATCCAGTCCATCAAGGATTATCCAATACCCACAGAAGGCAGTTCAGATGCAGAAACTGACCTTATAGGGGCAAAAACAAGTTGTCACAATTTTTCAACACATGGTGACATCCAGTCCATCAAGGTTTATCCAATGCCCACAGAAGGCAGTTCAGATGCAGAAACTGACCTTACAGGAGCAACAATGAGTTGTCACAATAGTTCAATACATGCCGACGTCCAGTCCACCAAGACAGCAAGTAGCCTTATCGGGGCAGAAATGAGTTGTCACAATTGTTCGAGGCAGAAATGAGTTGTCACAATTGTTCAATACATGCTGGCATCCAGTCCATCAAGACAGCAAGTGGCCTTGCAGGAACAAAAATTAGTTGTCACAATTGTTCAATACATGCTGGCATCCAGTCCATCAAGACAGCAAGTGGCCTTACAGGAACAAAAATTATTTGTCACAATTGTTGAATACATGCTGACGTCCAGTCTATCAAGGCTTGTCCAGTGCCCACAGGAGGCAGTTCACACACAAAAAGTGGCCTTACAAGGGCAAAAAAGAGTTGGCACACTTCTTTCCGCAATCCTTCCATATTTGCTCGCGTCCAGTCCATTACGGCTTATTTAAAGCCCACAGTTGGCAGTTCACAAACAAAAAAAAAGCTTACAGGGGCAAAAATGAGTTGTCACAGTCCCATTCTTCAATATTTGCTGGCGTCCAGTCCATCAAGGCTCCGTCCTAGTTTAAAAGCCATGTCATTAAGGAAGCAATGAAAGTGAAGCCTTTTTTCTGATAAAGAAATTGTGCTATCTAACGCGAGAAGGCGTTGAAAAATATATGAATACTGCTGAGGATAGTCAGGGATCTCGAGATTTTTGCTTGGTATGGAGGGGTCCTGGTTAAGAGGTTTACTGGAGCGGGTTTATGCAAGAGTTTATGGAAGAATAATACGTCGTGTCCTGTGGGTTCTATTAATTAAATGTAATAATTTCAGGTCAAAATCTTAATTTTCAGATATATATTGTTTGGATGTTAAGGCATGTTTCATTTTTTAATTTCTTAATGTTAACATACTCTGTATATTATTTGAGTATTAGGAATATTTTAGCATGTTATTAATTATGTTTTCTTTAAATATTAATTATTTCCATGATTTCTATCATAAATCGAATATATTTAAATCTTTTTAGAGACTAAATAATAATCATTTTGGAACTGTCATTTTTCGTTTTTTATATATATTACAATAACTCCATTGATAAGAACACCGCAGGGAGGGGGGGTGGCGGTTGGGGGCGGAGAGTAACGAACAATTACAGCCTAAGCTTCTTTGCTAGACCCTCATATGATTTTGACTGAGTGATCTACAAGCAGTCAGCGGAATGGTACTCGACTAAGAGGAGTAGAGGTTTTATTGTGCAAGAAAGCAGGGCAGCCCCTCTTACATTTCACTGTCACGGTGAAATGTTTTTTCATTTTGGTAATAGAACTTCTTTTATGCCAGTAACATCCAATTTGTTAAAGGACAAGATTCAAAGTTAGGGAAGCAAAGTGGAAAAAGCAGAGAAACTATATGGCTATCTCAAAATTAGCACAAAAAGTTAACTTTGATCCTCTTACTTAATTTCCCATTAATATATTTTTGGTTACTATAGTTTTTAAAAATTCAATATTGATTTAAAAGTTTATTTTTATTATTTTTCAGTTATCAATCTGAGAATAGAGAAAGTCATTAACTTCTTGTGGTAGAAAAAAAAATATATGTCAACACTAATTCTAACCACTAAACTAGTTAATGTTAGTGTTAATGGTTTCATTAGATAAGATAAGTTGTATTAGTGTGTTTTTTCACCTTGAATTTATATGAAAAAATAGATTTGATATCAAGAAATTCTTTGATTTCACGTTGAATTTTTTTATTTATTTTTGGACTATGAGGGCATAAATAAGTTCAATTAGATCTTTAAGTTGTTTTTTAGGTGTTTTGTGTAAAAAAAATAGTTTGAAATGCATTTTAAGTATAAAACACCCATAATTTAATTTTTAAGCAACCCACTAGTCACTAAAATTGAGGTTATGGATAACGTGTCATTTATAAATTTAATAAAAAAATATTTTGGATGAACAATGTATCTTATCCCTAGTTTAATAAAATAATAATAATAATAAGTCTAAGCATGCAAATCTAGCTGAATGGTCATGTTTTTTAGCTTTTATTTTTGTTGAGGCTCATGCATGCTAGGCCTAAGCTAGTATGCCCAAGTGCATAGTATATTTTAATAACACATATTATTTTATTTAAAAAATTAAAATTAAAATAAATTTAAAATATTTTTTGAGTTAATTTATTTTTTAAATATTATTAAAAAAAAAACCATTTTCATTGAGTGGGGGGGGGGGGGGGGTGGCGGTTGGGGGCGGAGTGTAACGGACAATTACAGCCTAAGCTTCTCTGCTAGACCCTCACATGATTTTGATTGAGTGATCTAGCAGCAGTCAGCGGAATGGTGCTCGACTAAGAGGAGTAGGGGTTTTATTGTGCAAGAAAGCAGGGCAGCCCCTCTTACATTTCACTGTCACGGTGAAATGTTTTTTCATTTTGGTAATAGAACTTCTTTTATGCCAGTAACATCCAATTTGTTAAAGGACAAGATTCAAAGTTAGGGAAGCAAAGTGGAAAAAGCAGAGAAACTATATGGCTATCTCAAAATTAGCACAAAAAGTTAACTTTGATCCTCTTACTTAATTTCCCATTAATATATTTTTGGTTACTATAATTTTTAAAAATTCAATATTGATTTAAAAATTTATTTTTATTATTTTTCAATTCTCAATTTAAGAATGGAGAGAGAATCATTAGATTTTTATAATAGAGAAAAAACTATATATCAACACTAATTCTAACCATCAAAATAGTTAATGTTAGTATTAACGGTTGTATTAGATAAAATAAATTGTATTAGTGTATGTTTTTACTTTTAATTTATATGAAAAAATAGATTTGATATCAAGAAGTTCTTTGATTTCACATTGATTTTTTTTTTACCATGTTTTGAGTTGTTTGAGGGCATAAATAGATTTAATTAAATTTTTAAGTTGTTTTTTAAATGTTTAGTGTAAAAAAAAAATAGTTTGAAATGCATTTTAAGTGTAAAACACTCATGACCTAATTTTTAAGCAACCCACTAGTTATTAAAATCTAGGTTATGGATAATATGTTATGTTACAAATTTAACGAATAAATATTTTGGATGAACAATGTGTTTTATCCCTTATTTAATAATAATAAAAAAAAATAAGTCTAGGCATACAAACCTAGCTAAATGGTTTTGTTTCTTAGCTTTCATTTTTATTAAGGCATGCTAGGCCTAAGCTAGTAGGCTCACATACGTAGCATATTTTAATAACACGTTATTTTATTAAAAAATTTAAAATTAAAATAAATTTAAAATATTTTTTGAGTTAATTTATTTTTTAAATATTATTAAAAAAAAAACCATTTTCATTGAGTTTTTTTCTTAAAGCAAATCTCTAAAGACCAAAATCAAAGTTATAGGTAAGTGTAATCTTGCTGCCCATGAGCTTTTATGCATAAAAATAAACATGAGGGATCAAATAATAATTTTGTATTTTTTGGAAAAGTCCTTTGGTTTTTCTTGTATGTCAACGTTGGTCCTCTATCTCTCAATTTTCTTAGGAAAAGGCTAAAACATTATTTCAAAAAATTTATCATAAATTGAATTTCATAATGTTTAGTGATACATAACGTAAGCGAGTGAAGATATATCAAAACATATTTAAGCACATAAAATCATGGAAACATAACTTCAAATGATAGAATTGAAAAGAAGAAAAGGTAAATTACTAAATTGCAAACCTTGCAAAGTATAGGGACTAAAGTGAAAATGAAAAAAAGACAAAAATGCATAGTAGATTAGCAGATCAATGAAATTCAGCTTCCAAACCTTCTAGAGAGGATCAGCATTGCCAAACCCGTTACGCATTACCGGCACGCGCCACTCCGTTGCGTCAGGGCTCTGGAGACCTCTTCCAAACACCGCCCTGAAAAATTCCAGCTACAGACGAATCGACAAAGGAAGATCTAGTTTAGAGATGTTTATGGGACAATTCTAACTTGGAGACCTCTGTAGCTGAACTCCATAAAGAATTCAAGCATAAAAAATAGGTGAATTATCGCGGTTTGATCTGTTTTTGCAACGTAAATGGTTTTGGAATTTTTTTCCGGCAATTTTCATTTTCTTCTTTTGCGCCCCGGTGGAGGTTAAAAGGGCTTTATCGAGAGAAGAACATCCATCACACTTCATCGAGGCATGGAAATTGTACTCTGATAGAGGCTCTCGTAGACTTCATCTCATATATATATTAACTTCCAAAAGAATGGAAAAACCCAGCTCTTCATTGTTCATATAAACTATAACTATGAAAGATTTGCTTTCTTATAAAAAAAACTATTTTTTAATTTTTTTTAATTGAATTTTTTATGGTTTTTCTTTCATATTTATCATTTAATATTTTATTAATTTTAAATTAATCTTCCTGACTTATTTTGGTATACTTTATATAAAGTTTTACAGTCTCAAACAAATATCTTATTATTGAGTTGATGTTTAATTATATAAAATTTTATTTTTGTTATTGTATTATTAAATAAAAAATATATTTTTAAAAAAATAAAGATTTTAAACTCAATAGAGTCAATAATTCAAAATTTGAGTTTTATAAGTTAAGTAATGGAGTTTAGGTTAATTCAATATATTACCATTTAATTATTTTTAAAAATTATTATCTTAAATTTTTTTTAAATCAAGTTATATTTTTCTAATAATCTAGGTTGCTTTTAAATATGACAAATTAATTAAACCATATTAGAAAAACTCTCATATTGGTTAATTTAAGTTGGGCAAGGATAGCTTGCTAGATTAAGGGGGCCTTTTTTATTTTTCTAGTTTTCAATTCAATATTCTAATTTTTTTTGGTTGAATCTTTTATTTTTTTAAAAAAAATTATACTTTAATATATAATTAATTTTAAATTGATTTTCATAATTTGTTTCAAGATTATCAAAATCTTAAAAAGACATTGTAATGTTTGATTGGTTTTTATTTTGTGAGTAGTTTTATTTATTGTCATATTATTAATTAAAAATTAATTATAATATTATTAAATTTAATAACGGTTACAAGTTTAATGAATTAAATTATAAAACTTGATTTAATTAAATATTTTTTAAAAAATAAATATCATTTTAATTTCTATATTTTTTCCCTAAGAAAAACATTTCCATGATGCATGGGGTATCCACGCAAAAACGAGTATTGAACACGTTGGCTGGCCAATAGTTTCACTCACAATTATAACAATTAACAAAAACCAACTACGGGTTAGAGGAACCAACTACAAGATCAGGTGTGGTGGATGGCCATAAACACGGGTGGAAACAACTTCGGGTGGAAGGAGAGTGTCTCTCTCTTGTTTCTCTCTCAAGGCTCACTGATCAAATCTCAATTTTAATTGTGAATTATATAACTATGTATCAGTTGATATCAGAACTAGACTTTAAAATAATACCATATCCTTTTATTATTTTTATTTTTTTTGTATTTATTTAAGTTTTTCAGTGTTTATATCTATCCTTTTATCCTCCATGTCTGTGTCATTTAAGAAAAGAAAAAAAAATTATATTTCATTTTATTATTATCTCTAATCACATCAATATATTAAAAAGAAAACTAGATAGGAATTAATTAAAATTTTAAAAGTCATCCAATTTTTTACTGTAGAAACACAATTCTTGCTGAAGCATGAGCAAATCACCTCATAATCAACTGAAACTTCATATTCCATCTATTGAGGGTGAGATCAAACCCAAGCGATCACCTTTGAAACCACCGTTCTTGATTCTCCATAACCATGTCCCCTTCATACGAACGTCCATAATTTTATTTGTTTTATGTTTTAATTATCATCCACTGAATCACTTCTTTCTATCTTTCTATAGTATGTATAATTGCATGC